TTCACAAAAGTCGAACACCAAGTAGAAGGTTGAGCGGTATCGATTGTTCGCAGAGGCCTTTGTGCGACAGATTTCAATCAAATTCACCACATTTTCGTGTTTCAAGAGTTGCAAAATTCGAATCTCTCGCAACGCCGTAATTGGAAACTGTAAACAAACCAACAAAAAATCAGAACATCAAAATGACCTGGAAAAAATGAATGACATTGTGAATACTAACGCCTTCTTTTTCATTATCCATAAGAACTTTTTTCATCGCGACAAATTTCTTGTTGGAACGTCGTTCGCGTGCTTTGAACACTTCACCGAATGTGCCCTGACCGATTTTGGCCACTTTCTCGTATTTGCTTGATTCATCACAATAGGGAAAATCGTAATTTTCAATATATTTGTATTTGGTGAGCATTGCTTGGCTGCTTGTCGTTGTGGTACCACCACCAGCACCACCACTGCCGCTGTTCGATGATCGCTGTGATGTTGTTGTTGTTGATGCTGCTGCTGCTACTGCTACTGCTGCTGCTTGCATCGGCGGCACAGCCGACGAACTTAAATGATGATGGGATGATATGTTTTGCATCGATGCTGATGTATCCATCGGATCGTTGCCACCATCACGGCCGCCTCTACTTGCCATTTTCGCACTTTGGTCTATTTCACACACTTTATCCCATTCAAAACATTCGGTCGCGTTCAATCGATTCGGTGCATGGCAAAATGCCTAGGATGTTTCGAAATACGCACTTAAAGACGCATTTGATACCAAACAAAAAACACGAAAAAGGTTTACCAATATCGGTTGAAGCACTTACAAAAGGAAAATATCGTATCTTACGAAATGTTGACAGTGACAGACACAATTGATCCGTATTTTTAGAACTGTTGAACACAATGACTCAAGCTTTAAGCTCCAGCAACAACAAAATGTGGCGAATTCACTGTGTAAACAGGTTTCAATCGGTTTTGCAGTGGGGACGGTCAGCGTTTTTTTTCTGTCTTGAATTTCTTTGGTTAAGATATTTTTGAAATATCACCAGAATCAAAACAAATAAATTTTGAATTGTTTTAAATTTTTTTTTATATTTTAATTGATCGACTTACGCTCTAGTTTATCAATTATTAAGGGGAGAAACTTGAAATTTTAGAATATTTTTTTTTCCTAAAATTAAATATTAAGATTTAATTGGTTGTTCCTTAGTTATTATGAAAAAGATTTAACGAAAATTTAAAGAAAAAGTTCAAAATTTAGGCTCAACACAAAAATGTGAATATTTTGTACAAAATACGTGATTTGAATAGTGTGTATAAATGTTAAACTTAATATTAATTAATATAATAACCAACCGAATAGAGTTCTCTGCTCGAATTTTCGGTGTATTAATAAAATTAAAACGATTTAACGCTCTTATTTTTAATTAATTAGTTTTTTTTTTCAACCTGAGTTTGAGATTCTTAGCTAATTTATACATTTTCATCGGCTTAATAAATATGATCCACATATCCAGTATCCTGTGTGCGTTTTTGCGGTTGATTTGCCACCATTTGTTGTCTCAGCCGATCTGGTTTTTGTCGCGTATGCAAATCAAACATGCTTCGTTGATGTTTCGAGAACACTTTGCTCAGATCAGTTGGCATTGGATCTTGCCAGAAGAAGTCATGGTTTAAGGCAGCATCGGCATCAAAACGTGACTTCGGATCCAATTGCAGTAGTTGATCGATCAAATTCAGTCCGTGAGTGTCTTTTACGTAGGCTCTTAGCCGTTCCATCACTTTTCGCGTCTGATTCAACGGCAATTCTATCTTTGAGTAGAATGGAAGTTTCTGCACTCCTGGCCAAACCTAATAATGAAAAAAACCTTGTATTTTAAATCCGATGAATTTGTTATGATTTTCAAGACATGCAACATTATTTACATTCGGTGTAAAAGAACCACACAGATGGGAAATGAGAAAAATTTGCTGTTGTTCAGTTGTGCCTTGCATAATTGGCATACGTGTCCACATTTCAGCCATTATACATCCAACGCCCCAGATATCAATAGCTGGTCCATAGTTCGTGTCCCCCAAAAGAAGCTCTGTGTTTTATGAAGGAAAATGAACGTGTTGTTTAACATTTTTATTGATCAATGACTTTGGACTTACATTTCAGAGATGACTTTAGCGCACCCGAGTATTTTTGTTGTTTTTTCGTTCTACTTTAGCTTTTTGGCCAGGATTTTTTTTGAATAATATTTTGTGTAACATAACGAAGAAGAGCTTACATTTTCTGCCCCCGGTATTCGCATTGTGTGGTCATATGCACCTAGTAATTACGCGCAATGGCTCAATTTCGCAATATTACGCAATTTCTACTTTTGGGGATTTTTTCTTCATATTTTACTAATATAAATGTGGTTTTTCAAAAACTGTTCTTTGTTATGTTACACAAAATATTGATACAAAGTTTTTTTGACCAAAATGGTAAAGTATAACGAAGAAAAAAACAAAAAAAAACAACACAAATAATCGGGTGCGCTGTAGCGCACTTCGGTGCGCTAAAGTCATCTCTGTTACATTTATTGGGGCTTGATTAAAATTTCACAAAAATGATTGAATTTAGCTTAGTTCGATTCGAAAAAAAATGCGAATTACCTGGTGGTCGATACCATAGTGTAACCACACGATTCGGCGGTGTTTGTACATTATAACAGTTTTTAGGTACGTTGAATGTTCGTGCCAAACCGAAATCGCCCAATTTCAACACACCATTTTTGGTAAGCAGAATGTTGGCGGGCTTTAGATCGCGATGCATCAACTGCGAATTTGGAATTGCAACACATTTGCTTAGCTTATTTGAACAAAACGATCGAGTGCTGCTCATAAACAGCACGAATCTAAAATAATTATTCTATTTTCGATAAGCTTACCTTATTTGCATGCATAAAAAACAAGCCATTCAGTAATTGTTGTAACACTTTCTTGATTTCGCCTAAATTAAATCTAACATTTGTATTGGATAGCAGTCCAGCTAAATCATGCTCGCAAAATTCGAACACTAAATAGCAATTGGACATATATCGAGTCCTAGCCGTTGGTTTTGAGCGGCAAATTTCGATTAAATTCACCACATTTTCATGTTTTAACCGTTGCAATATGCGAATCTCTCGCAACGCAGTTATCGGAAACTGGAAAATGAATAAAACGATCGAAAAACAATTAAATTTGGTTCACAGGCTTGCGTCGAAAATACATAATGCGGATGATTGATTGTACAATAGAAGGAAATGTACAAGGAAGGTGTTTTTTTCTTCAAATTTTAAATGAAGGAAATACTTTTTATTCTAAGACAAATCTTTAGTGAAAAAGTAAAAGTTATCATTTGAAAATTGTGAGAGAATTTCAATTGAGATCGGAAATGTAAATGATTTTCTTTAACAATTGTAAATTTAACATCAATTTTATAGACTGGAATAAAAAAAAAATCATGGTTTTTCTCAATTAGAATGGCAACTACATAATATTTCTCCTGAAAAAAAAAGTGTCAGCAATTGAATTCGATTAAAATCGTCAGAAAAGTAATTAAAACTATCAAAACCCCAAAACAAAAAACAGAATCTCAAAAGTGACAGATGTCAAAATGGTTTGGCCATTGGTCATTGGCGTGCTGCACTCGCGTTAAACACAAATAAACCCAATAAAATATCAATAGTTATTAAGCTGAAATGTAAAAAAAAACAATCCCGACTGAAAGTCCATTGCATCGAGCAACCGATAGATTATGGATTGGCAATTCGTTCGAAAAAAATTTCTTTTCAAAAGACATAATAACATGAAGGTCATGACGTCACAGAGCAAATACCAATGCGATATGTAAAAATACTAACGCCTGGTTGTCCGTTGTCTGACAAAATTCGTTTTAATGCAACGAATTTATTGGTTGACGGAACGCGAGCTTTGAACACCTCGCCATAAGTGCCCTGGCCAATTTTGGCCATTTTCTCGTACTTGTCCACATCATCACAATTGGGGAAACTGCTGTACTGGACGCATTCGTATTTTGAGAGTGTTGATTGGCTGCTTGCCGTTGAGATTCCACTGTCCGTTAGTTGTGAATTGGCCGATGATGTGGAACTGCTTGAAGCCATACACATTCTCGGTAGAACCGTACCACTAAATTGTGATTTTGGGTGGTGCATCGTGTTGGTTGACATTGGGTCGTTGCTTCGACTTTCCATTCTTACTTCTTTTGTTATTCACAAATTTTCACGTTTCTCATGTGATCGTGGTCGCTCGTCTCAATCTTTCTGGTCCATTGCAAAAATGTTGCCGAAATTTAATTAAATACGCACCACAAATAAATACGCATTCAATTACAAACAACGCACAAAAAATGAACCAAACTCGATTGAAAGCACTACCGACGATGATGAAATTCGTTTTGACAATGACAGTATGGAATGTGCGTATTTGGTTTTTTCCACAAATTCGACGAGAGAACAAAGAAAATGGCAAATCCACCAATACTACCATCTGGCAACACATTATTTCGAAAAGTTGCCCAATTGAGTGGTGCCGACGGTCAATATTTTTAGTCGAACCAATTCTAGAATCGATTTCAAATCAACTTAATTGAAAATAAAAGAATTTTTTTCTGAAATATTCAGATTAAAATGTGA